AACAAATAAGTAAGCCAAGCAAGACGCTGTTAATCAGATCTCAGATACATTGGCATCTGAACTTTTAAACTGGACTGCAGACACATCCAGCCTCTTTACCCTAGGTACAAGTTGATTTCTGAACCCTTGTTAACTTCTGCTGCCTTCCAGTACAATAGACTTTTTCTCCAAACTACACAGAGACCAGATCACACCCAATCCTTTTTTTTTTTTTTCCACAAAATAGATTAACTTTTACTGGCACCAATCACAATACCTGACTAAGTGATATTTTTCCAACCTGTTGGGATCTAAAGCTATAAATACAGGCACTATTTTACAAAACTTTCAAACATGTTTTCAAGATTGCTTGAATCTGTGTTTTCCCCGGTTGAAATCCTAATTAGCCCCAAATAAATATAATCCTCTTTGTTCTCAACTAGGTTGGTTCTAGATCAACAAATGCTTCAGATCTACCCATCTAACTACTTCCTAGAGTGAGAGGTATTCTGGAGATGACTGCGGCCAAAGGTATTAATAATAGCAAAACCAACATCAAGCCAAAACCAAGAGCACCAAAGGAGGAGGGGCTAGCACTAGAGAAACAGGAGTGACCAATATCAGTCATACCACAATAACTGTGCCAGAGGAAGAAGGGTCCTAATGAGGCAGTTAGGGACCACTACAGGACAGAAGGCTGGGATGACAATATAAACTCCTGGCCACAGGAAACTGTTACCCTTTTTTGTAGAATGACATGTTTCAGCAGACCCTTCACAAGGCTATGATAAAAACCACAAACATGAAAGCAGAATGTTTGCATGCAATGAGAAATGGTTGTCAAGAAACAAAACCTAAATAAACCCTTTCCCTTGGAGGTCACACAGCTGGGCAATATGTTTTTAGCTTTATACTAGCTTTGCTGTAGATAAAACACCTCTGGCACGTGGGTGACGGTAACCGTTGCATGGGTTACTTCCCAGGGACCTAAAAGTTGCTTTGCTGACTCTTCCCTTGGACTGCAAATGTCTGATGGGTGACGGAGGTGGGGTCAAAGGCTTGGCATCTCTGCCTTCAAAATGTGTCTTAACCTTGAGTCAGTCCACACATACAGACATGTTGTTCACTTGAGAAATATTTTTTCTAAGACTATGACAGGGTTAATTTGGCTAATTGCCCATTGGAGCTGGGGGGGTAGGGTGTGTTTATTATAGCCCACACCTGTGCTTTTTCAACTGCTCAAGCACAGAAAGTCCTTCAGCCCTATCATAAGGCCAGGACACTTTTGTAGGATGATAATACCAGAGTAACTTAGCTGTTGCTAAGTGGAGTTTTGATTGCTTATTGGCCCAACAAACACAAGGCCAGGGTGCCTTGTGTATGATGGTGGTGCCAGATACACGGAAACTCAACAGCCTCGAGGATGAGTTGATTGTGATTATCCAGTGGTCTAAACCATCACAAGAAACCACATCTTTTGAAAGCATGCCCCTGGCCAGTGGGAATTGCTAGACTTTAGTCCACCCCAGCAAATCAATAAAAACTGCTTCTTCTGTGAGAGCAGCTTGGTCCCTCTCCTGACCAATTGGTCCCTCTTTTTAGCCAAAACCCAGGGTTGCTTTTTTTTTTTTTTGACTTTTCTTTATTAGTATATGTTTTTGATACATAACAATTACATTCATCTTGGGGAATTGGTACATATACTTACCTCATCTTTTTTTTGTGTGTGTGCCGGGGAAAGTACTTATCTCATCTTGATCATTTTTATTGCCCCTTAACCCCTACCCTTCCCTCTCTCTCCTTCCCCAGATCCCCTTTCCATCTCCACAGAGTCTACCTCCCTTTTCTTATCATCTCTCTTCTATCTTACTCTGTAAATTGTTTCTATTTGGGCTTTCTCATATTAAAGAAAGTCCCACTTTGAAACCACTCTCCCCCTTCCCCTAATAAAGTTTTGCCCATGCAAGAGTGTATGCTTGGATTGTTGGGCCAGTCTCATTTCTACCATTTCAGGCTCAAAAGATCCTGTCACCCAGTGTCCTAGGTTGGACTCATAGAGATTAATAAAGCAGTTTATATCTGGTGCTGTACCTGGTGCCTACAGGTAGGCAACTGGCCAGAAGTTAACTGTACTCTGTGGAAATCTCATTAGTACTAGCTTCTGAGTATGTGTCTTTTCTATCTTGTAAGGAAGATTGAGCCTAAGAAATTTCCTGAAGTTAAATGGGAGTTTGGGATAGAACTTGTTGCCTTGGAAATTTGAATTTCCACCCTTAACATTTTTCTTAAGCTCCAGACTCATGTATCCAGCTGCCTACTGGAAAAAAACAAACTCATCATGTTTCCCCAAACCCATTCTACTTCATTTATATGTATTATATATTCAGTTAGTTCCTAGTATAAAGTAGAAATTCAATTAACACTTTCTAAACTAACCCTGAGAATGTAAATTCAAGTCAACTAGGATCCTTTGTGAGCTTTAATTTTGGGGGTAGTGGTACTTAGGATTACACACAGAATCTCACACTGAGCTATAATTTCAGCCCTTTTAAAGTTTTTTTCTATAGTGTTTATCTGTATACTTTTGTAACACAGAAAGGTGATATTTATTTTAGGGAATTGTTATACGCATATAACATATTTTGATCATTTTCAATCCCTTAAATTCCTCTTTCCCTTTTCTCGCCCCTCTTCTGATTATCTTCCCTGTCTCCAAGACTCTACCTTCCAGTTCCCTATCAACTTATTTTTTTATTTTTCAGTTTTGAGACAGGGTCTGCCTAAGTTTCCCAGGCTGGTCTCAAACTTGTCATCTTCTTGCCTCAGCTTCCATCAGGGTGACATGGGGCTCGCTTAGGACGGCACCTCACAGGGTGACTTGCTCGGGTGCTTCCTTTTCTGTCTCCACTGATGCTGCTACTGCTGCTCCTTTGGAATGAAATCCTTCCTTTCCAAGTTGTGGGACTCTTTGGGGTCCTATGTAAAATGAGGAGACAGTGGAGGGGACTGTTCAGGCTTCCTTCATGAGAACTCCTTACTTGCTACCTACACAGACTTTTTCTGCTCCTTAAAAACCTTAGGCAGCAGGGCACAGTGGCACACACCTGTGTTTCCAGCTACTCAGGAAGTTGAGGCAGAAGGATCTCAAGTTCAAGGTCATCCTGGGGAACATAGACCTTGGCTTAACGTAAAAAAGGCTGGGTATGCAGAGGTCCTGGGTTCAATCCTTAGCACTGTAAAAACAAAAAAACAAGAAATATTTCTGCCTTCGAACCTTTGCATCTTGGGCTTCTTCATGTCATTCAGGGTGTGTTAAAATGTTTCCTTATCCCAATGATGAATGTGATCATAATGTATACCTAAAATGTATCAATAAACTTAATGGAATAAACTTAATTGAATTTAAAAAAGATAGGTTGAATAAAAAAACTTTCCAGAATGTGTCATTTTGTCAACACTAGTAGGCATGCATTGTTTAATCTGGGTCCCAGTTTCTGTCTCCGACTGCATGAATCAAAAAGCTGCAATAAAGACTGAAAATAAAAAAAAAAAAGTTTTTGTCAGAGAATCTTCCCCAGTCACACAGTATGAAGTAACTCCCATATCACATCACTATGAAATTTTTTCAAAGTACCCGTTTTAGTCAACTTTCCATCACTACAACAAAATATGTAAACAAAATTAACTTATAAAAAGAAAAGGTTTATTTGGGGGCACACTTTTGGAGGTTCTGGTCCATGTTTGGTTGGCCTTGATACTCTGGACCTGTGGCAAGCAGCACATCATGGTGGAAGTGTATGGTAGGGCAAAACTGGGCAGAAAGTTAAGAGAACAAGAGGCGGTTGGGGTCTCGCGGTTCCCTTCAAGGGCACGGTCTCAGTGACCTGAGGACCTCCCACCAGCCCCATCAATTAGAGACTCCATCTCCCAATAGCACCAACCTGAGGACCAAGCCTTAAACACATGGACCCTTAGGGAACATTATACAAACCATAACAGAATTTGTCATTATTGATTTCTTTAAATTTTGCAATTGACTATCTCCTCTCACCAGGAAATAAACTACACAAGAGCAGGCACATGATCTGTCTCACTCACTAGTGCAGATTCAGGATCTAGAACAAGGAATGTGGTCGTGGGAGCTCAGTCCATGGTTGGTAAATTAGTGGGTAAAACACTGACTTGAAGTAACAGCATTTTCACAGGATAAGGCAGTATATCTCAGTCCTACTTCAAAGTAGGGTTTGGTCATTTTTCATCCATAAAAAACATTCTTTCCCCAAATGCCATGAAGCTACATTACTACAGTTGGCAGAGTCAGGATAAGTCCAGGGTAAGTTCAGACAGTCTGAGGGAACATGCAGGGCTACAGTACAGCTCGGGGGTAGAACACTTGCCTAGCATATGCTCTGGATTAATCTGTAGCACTGCAAAAAAAAAAAAAAAAAAAAGAGAAAGAGAAAGAAAGAAAGAAAGAAAAAGAAAACAAAAAACACAGAGAGGGCCTGCAGGTTATCGGAGGTAGCTTTTTTTAATTTGGAAAGTTAATAGATACAAAGGCTTTAACAATGCCTAATCCTGGAGATTAAAATGGAAGAAAAGGGAATGAATCAAAGCAGAATGGCTTTTCCATCTTCCTCCCTTAATTGTGATGCATACTGCAAGATTATAATTATGATTAGCACTTCCTTTTAAAAATCCTCTCTCCTTCCTTTCATCCTTCGCTCCCATCCAGTGATCAGGTTCTCAGAAGTAAGAATTTCCACATTTCTAAGGATAAGATCACTCTCAAAATATCACAAAGTGTACCTGTCTAGAAATAGCACTTTCTCTCCATTTTGGGAGGGCTTTCCACACCAATCACTGCCCACATGGATTCTAAGGGTGGAGGACTTCACTCCCTAGAGATGGTGATGTGCCCAGCTTGATAAGGAGGTTCTGTAGAGTCTGGAGGTACCTTGAGCAGGCCTTGTCCCACCACTGCTTCTTAGCTTTATTACATCTTCCCTCTTGCTTTGCAGCTGTCCCTGCTCCAGCTCCAGATTCCTATGGTGCTGAAGCAGCCAGGTGAGGAAGTGCCATAGCTGCACTGGCACCCTCAGCAAACCCTGCTGTACACATGGAAGCTGCTGGGTTGCTTCTCCCCAGGCTCAGGTGAGAATATAATGCAAGGAAAATTGAGCTGTCCTAGACTGGAGCTGACCTAATGTAAAGTCTCCACACACATTGTCTTCAGAGGCAGCTCTAGGAGATCTGGTGGCTTGGGGTGCAGGCCTGGGCCTGTTGCTGTCCTGTTTGAATGCATAAGTTGATGAGGCTAACTCGAATTGCAGAGAAACAGCAACAAAACCAAGTAGAGGAATGTCCAGCCTCTCTGCTCTTTCATTGAACATAATTAGCCCTTTTTTAAAGCACTAGAGTTAACATTTATAACAACTAACACATCCCTGAGGAATGAAATTGAGCCACAGACTTATGGCTGTGCCATTACTTTCCCATGACAGGTCTTGCCATAGAACTTCTTCCCACCTGGGTTCAAATCTGATCTCAGCCCACTTCTATTGTAAGTACTGCCATTACCTTCTCTTCATCTGCTAGTGGTTGTTATGGAGTGGATTGTGTCTCCTCCCCAAATTCATACATTAAATAGTCTTAACCCCTTTTACCTCAGAATGTGCTTGTGTTTAGAGATAGGATTGGTACCCTTTCCCCTAGCCTGGCACTGGGGAGAGAACCCAGGGCCTTGCACTTGCTAGGCAAGTGCTTTGCCACTGACCTACATCCCCTAGCCCTTTTTGTTTTTTATTCTGAGGCCAGCTCTGTCTAAGTTGCCCAAGTTGTCTGGAGATCTTTAAAGCATTATTTAAGGTTAATGAGTTCAGTAGGGTGGACCGTAATCTAATATGACTGGTGTCATCATGAAAAGAAAATGTTTGGACCCAAATGCACACAGAGGAAGGGCCATGTGAATGCAGGCAGAAGAGGGCTGACTGTGAGCCAAAAGGAGAGATCTGGCCAGACGTGGCTGCACACACCTGTGATCTCAGCACTCACGAGGCTGAGCAGTAGGAACATGAGCTCAAAACCAGCTTGGATTGTATGATGGGGCCCTGTCTCAAAAAATCAAAACAAAAAACAAAAAATGAGATGAACAAAAAATTTTTAGAAACAGTATAAATGAATTTCTTGTAGTAACAACTGATAATTCAAAACACAACATTTAGAAAACAAAATACTTTTAAGTGCAGTGAGAAACAACTTGTGGAGTACAGCTACCAGATGTCATGGGAAAAGAAGTGTGCGTGTGTGTGTGTGTGTGTGTGTGCATGTGTGTGCGTGAGTGGGGGAGGGTGTTACTTGAAGATCAAATTAGAATAGAAAATAGAGCCTGGGGTGGAGCTCAGTGGTAGAGCAATTACATAGCATGCACGAAGCCTTAGGATCCATCCCCAGCACCACAAAAAGCCAAGTAAAAAGAGAGGATTATTTGCTTTTTTCCTCCTGCTTTGCACTCAAAAGTAGGAAATGGGTGTATGAAGGGCTGATTTCCAGGAACCCAGTGCTCTCTAAGAACCAGTATAGGACTTTGGAGACTAGATTAGGAAAATTGTAGGTCTGAGGAGTGGGCCACAGTGTTCTAAGTCTGGCTATGAGATTTGAGAGCTCCCTCTAGCAGTTGAAGTGGTGTGTGTGTGTGTGTGTGTGTGTGTATGTTTTGCTTTGTTAGGGATGGAATCTAGGGCCTCAAAAGTGTTACGCACTGAGCTGCATCCCAGTCCTGCAGGGTTCTATTTTGATGAGGGATCAAGCCTCTGTCTCCCAGAGGAAAAATCTTGACCAAAGAGGCGTGGCTGGGGACAGTCTAGAGAACAGTTAAACTGAGCTTGCAGTCAAACAGCACAGATTTATTGCCAGTTCACTCCTCCTTAGTTGCGGAAATCTGAACCTACCTGCTTGTTAATTCATTTAAGCTTCCTTCCTCACTTCTGATCTAAGGATAATCACACTATCCTCATGATATAGGAGGTAGGCGTGTCAAAGCTGGCTGGAAAAATAAGCCAGGCCTGTCAATTGCAAAAATTCCAGGACAGTGCCAAATAATTCCCAGGTCCTTGTATGTTGAACTTCATGTGGGCTCCCATGAGATGTGGACAGCATAAAAGAGACAAGATGCCATGAGGAGTCCACTATTGTGAGTCCTTATGGTAGCCCACTCTATGTCTCCTAGATGCTGAGTGCACTTTTATTTTTGTCTTTATCTTTTCCTCTCTTTTTTTTAGCCCAAGTTTGCTCTACAACACTACTTTTTTTGCTTATCCCTTTATCCCTCACTTTTCAAATAAAATTTTGGCCGTTTTTGGCTTGGCTTGTCCAATTCTTTGAGGCAAGAAGGACCTGGAATACTTTTAATTCTATTTAATCCATTTCTAAAGGAACTACCTGACAATACTCAAAGATTATTATAAGAAAATTTGAGATGATAATGTGATCAGTCCATTGGTTGGCATCTAGTAAAAGGTCCACAAATGGCTGTTATCAGGTAGCTCCTTCTAAAAGTGCCTCATCAATTAAATGTTGCCAGGTTTGCTTGCCTTTCCTTCTGGAGTTTGATTCCAGGTTCTTCTTATCTCAAACAAATTGAACAAAACAAGCAAAAAAATGTGATAGGGCACTAGCACAGGCCCCAGCCAGAGGCCTGCTGGGACAGCAGCACAGTGCAGAGATCCAGAAGCCCATCATTCTGAGTATAGGAATTGGCGCAGTGGTGAGCAGTAGAGAGTGGGCCTCTCCAAGGCCTACTGAGAAGTAAAGCCCACTGGGAAAGCAAAGAGTCACTTCCATAAAGGTGCAGCAGACTGCAGCGGTTGGTGAGTTGTTGGAGTCAACACCTCCTACCAGAACCCGGACTTGCTGTGGGGGAAGGGTGGGTTGAACCTGCATTAAAACCCTGCAGAGGGCTGGGATTTAGCTCAGTGGTGCCGCCGCCTGCCTGGAAAGCACAAGGTTCCAAGTTCGATCACTGGTACCAAAAAAAAAAAAGAACACTGCAGAGTTCAAACCCAAAAGAGATCAGGGAGATCAATTCCAACTTTACAGCCAGAAACCAGCCTGAACTTCAGTGGACTATGGCTGGCTCACTGAGATCAGTTGACACAGATCTGTATGCTATCCACACTGTCCACTGTGACAACAGAGACACACCATGAAGGGGATATTTTTATCTTCTTTTCTCCTTCTTCATTTCTCACCTTTCTTATTTCTATTTTTGTCCTGTTTTTTCTCAATTGTTCTTTTTTTTTTTCTTTTTTTTTTGAGACAACGTCTCACTATGTAGTTCAGTCTGGCCTTGAACTCACTGTGTAGCTCAGGCTGGCTTTGAACTCACAGTGACCCTCTTGCCCCTGCCTCCCAAGTGCTGGGATTACAGAATGTACCACCATTCCCAGCCATCGATTGTTCTTATTTTTATAAGAGTGAGAATAGAGTTTCTAGTTTCTCTGTTGCTCTTAATTTGTTCTGTTCTTGTTTCTGTTCCTTCCTTCTCTCTTTTCCTTCTGTCTTCACCAGGCTCCCAAAGTTTACATGCTCTTCCTGTGTCTTCTAGCCTTACTACTAACTTTTCCATCTCCTTCTATTTCTCTACCCACACCCAACTCATTCTAAATCTCCTCATAGGGCAAATCTGTTATAGTGAAGGGCTTATGTTTTGGAAATATATTTCTAGTTGGTTCTAGATTTTGATATATAACCATAAGTGTAATTCATGCAGTCAAATGTGGTAGATTAACAATTAGCACAGTTTGCCATTTTCTAGGCTATGTTTGACAGTATTGTTGATGCTGATTGTATTACTTTGGCCAAGGTGATATGATTGTTCTAGTTAGTTGTCCTTGCTGGTATACCAAGACTGAGATTACCTAAGGCCCATTACAGGCTCAAAACCCAAAGGCTAACTACACCTGGAAGACATTCCAAGAAGTAGTCATTCCCTATAGGTTCTAAATGCTAGCAGTAAAGATACCCCCAATAAGAAATTTACAAGCTGAAACCCAGGAATTAAACCAAAAACATCAATAACAATAACAGCAACAAAAATAAAACTGAGAAGACACCAAAACAAGATGCAAAACCAGACTTCTAGATCACCAAAGGTAACTCCAAAAGGCAATGAGATGGAACAATCTGAAATTTAACCACCTGGACTCCCTGAATTGGCAACAAAAGAGGATCTGGAAAAAATGAAATCAGAAACAATTTCTCAGATGAAAACAGAGATAGTGACTATAATGAAAGACATGATTAATAACTCTAGAGCAGACACAGACAAAAAAAAAATAGAGGGGCTGAGGAAAATGATAGAAACCATGAATATCCATCAAAGGAAAGAATTAGGAAGCATAAAACACATTCAAGCAGATATCCAAGAAATAAAAAATTCCATTGAAAGTTTCCACAGCAGAATAAGTGAAAGTGAGGACAGAATTTCAGATATAGAAGACAGGATTGCAGTTAATGAACATGAAAACAAAAGTTTCTTAAAAATAGCAAGGGACCATGAGAAATCAATTCAACAGCTACTAGATGATGCAAAAAAGAGTAACTTGAGATTGATGGGAGTCAGTGAAGCAATAGGAGATAGAGCAAAAGACAAATAAACTTTTCACAGAAGTAATCGCAGTAAACTTCTGAAACGGAAATAGAATTTGACATAAAAATAAGTGAGGCATATAGAACTCCATCTAGCTATAATAAAAAAAAATCTACACCTAGGCAAATAATGGTCAAGATTCCAGAAATCCAACACAAGAACAAAATAGTAAAAGCAGTGAGAGAAAAGAAATAAATCATATACAAAGAAAAGCCAATCAGCGTCACAGCAGACTTCTCAACATAAATCCTTAAGTCAAGGAGAGCCTGGAGGTGAACTATTTTAAGCTCAAAAAGAAAACAACCTCCAACCCAGATCGATGTATTCTACAAAATTATCTTTCAAAATTGATGGAAAATAAGATACTTTCATGACAAAGAACAACTTAGAAACTTCATGAATACTAAACCAGCACTCCAAAAAATTCTAAATAATATCCTAGGAAATGAGGGTCACAACTCCATGAAGCTCAACAGAATGAATCCATTAGGCAAGGTAAGAAATTAAATGCAAAAGGAGGGGAAAATATTCAATAACAGGAAAAGATCATGACAAGGATAGGTCAATACATATCAGTTACAAAGATCAATGTTAATGGTCTCAATTCACCAATCAAAAGAAATACACTGCCAGAATGGATTGAGAAGCAAGACCCAGCAATATACTGCATACAAGAAACACACTTAATTTAAAAAGAAATTCATAGGGGCTGGGGATTTAGCTCAGTGGTTTCACCACCTGCTGTGCAAAAGAAATTCATAGACTGAAAGTCAAAGGACTGAAAAAAATACTCTATGCAACAGGAACCCAAAAGAAAGAAGGGGTAGCTATCCTATTTGCAGACAAAGTGGATTTCAAACCAAGACTAATTAAGAGAGACAAAGAAGGTCACTACATCCTTGTAAAGGGAACAA